ATACATATATATATATATATATATATATATATATATATATATATATATATATATATACATATATATATATATACATATATATATATATATATATATATATATATATATATATATATATATATATATATATATATATATATATATATATATATATATATATATAAATTCATTATATATATATATATATATATATATATTTATATATATGTATATATATATATATATTTATATATATATATATATACATATATATATATATATATATATATATATATATATATATATATATATATATATATATATATATATATATATATATATATATATATATATATATATATATATATATATATATATATATATTTGAACATTTTTAAAAATGTATTCTACAAAATAGAGTGCTCAATGTTCATAAAAGAACAGAGCAATTATACTAGATGAAAAAAGTTATACTATAGTATAACTTTTTTCATCTAGTATAATTGCTCTGTTCTTTTATGAAAATATATTTTTATGAAAATATATATTTTATGAAAATATATATATAAAAAGAAATATATTTCTTTGATTGAAAAAGTTGAGCATTTTATTAAAAGAATTTGTTGGAAAGCCCATTTTTTCTTAAAACCAAATATAAACACAGATGATGTATTTAACAATAACCAAGATAATGATAATTATGGATTTAAAACAAAAAATACCCCACCTTTTACACCTGAATTGGAAAATTTTGAAAATGACCTATTGCATTTAATTAAAACAAAGTTTCGCTCTATAAAAAATAAATTTCAAACAGAATTAAAGATAGATGTTAAAAAAATTAAATCAAACCCAAATGTTTTGGTTTTTGTTGATAAAACAAATAACATTTACCAACTCACAAAAGAAAACTATGAAAAAATTTTACTTATTTTAATTTTAATTATTATATAAATTTTAATTATTAGTTCTCTCAAAAATTCAGAAATGACATTGATTTCATCATACCTTGAAAAAAATTCCCGCACCTAAGACAGTTTCATATTTAACCATACAACACAATTACTGCCCACAGGCTATTAATTATAATATGTTAACTTTATATACAATACACATGTTCTCTCAAAAATTGAGATTGAACATGTAAGCAAAATTAAGTTGGACAAAATTAATAATATTCTTAAAAATAAATTAAATTTGCAACAGTGGAAAAATACCACTGATGTTATAAATTGGTTCTCCATAATCGAATATAAAGATGACTGTACATTTATTCAATTTGACATTAATGATTTTTACCCTTCAATAACCGCAGATTTTAAATAAAACAATCGAATTTGCAAAAAGCCACACAGTTATTCCTGAAGAAACAATCCGTATAATAAAAAATTGTAGAAAAACCTTACTTTACTTTAATAAGGAAACTTGGAAAAAGAAAAACATACACGACTGCTTTGATGTGACAATGGGCAGTTATGACGGAGCAGAAACTTGTGAGTTTGTTGGACTATACATTTTAGATTTATTAAGTAAAATAATCAATAAAAATGATTTAGGCCTTTATCGCGACGATGGTTTAATAGTAATGCGTAAAAAATCTGGTCACCAGCTCGATAAGATTCGAAAAGATATTATAAAAATTTTTAAAAATATTGGCTTTCAAATCGAAATAAACATAAATTTAAAAATTGTGAACTTTCTTGATGTCACATTTAACCTCTCTAAAAATTCATTTAAGCCTTTCAAAAAACCAAACGATGAGTTATTGTATATTAATATTAACTCAAATCATCCACCACAAATTCTAAAACAAATCTCAATTTCAATTAATAAGAGGTTAAACTAAAATCTTCTAATAAAAATGTATTTAATTCCTCCAAACGAATATTTGAAGATGCCCTTAAAAAAAGTGGTTTTGAAAATTTTGAACTAAAATTTGACTCTATAAAAAAAAGGAATAGAACTAGAAATGTAATTTGGTTCAACCCCCCATATAGTAAAAATGTTTCCACTAACATAGGAAAAGTGTTTTTAAAATTGATCGATAAGCATTTCCCGCCCTTTAATAAATTACATAAAATTTTTAATCGAAATACAATTAAAGTTAGCTACAGTTGCACAAAAAATATGGAAAGAATTATAAAAAGTCACAATAATGCTTTGTTAAATAGAAAAAAAATCCTAAATGAAAAAACTACAGAAAATTGTATTTGTAAACAAAAAAACAATGCTCCAATGAGTGGAAGTTGTTTATCAAAAAATGTGATAAATAAATGTGTTGTTTCCTCTATGTACCCGATAAACAATATATTGGCATAACAGAGGGTGAATGGAAAAAATGTTTTGCCAATCATAAGCAAGCTTTTAAAAATAAAAAGTATTCATAAGACACCATGCTAATATAATATATATAGGAACTAAAAGAAAAAAATTTTGATGATTTTATACTGAATTAGTCCATCCTTAAAACAGCGCCTGCATACAACAATATTTTCAAAAAATGCGTACTATGTCTAGAAGAAAAATTTCAAATAATTACACATGCAAACCAAGAATGTTTGTTAAACAAAAAATCGGAATTGATTTCTAAATGCAGGCACAAAAATAAGTCTCTCCTAAAAAACTATAAAAATAAGTGAGCTCAAATAATAGTTACATTAAATCCCCCCCTTTTTTAAAAATATTTTTATTAAAAAAAGCATAAGTAATCATTAGTCAGCAAAAGTAATCAAGTGTCAGCAAATTCCACAAATGTGTGAAAATTTACAGTAGTTAAAACATTTCCGACTTCCTGTAATTTATTTTTTTGGTATAAATTAAAGTTTTATTAATTTGACCATTCATTTCTGATGAGTCTTTGTTGATGAAACACAGTGTAAAATAAAAAAATTTTTGTTAAAAGATTTTCTTATATATATATATATATATATATATATATATATATATATATATATATATATATATATATATATATATATATATATATATATATATATATATATATATATATATATATATATATATATATATATATATATATATATATATATATATATATATATATATATAAATTAGTAGAAAAATTTTTTCTCATTTAACACTGTGTTTCATCAATAAAGACTCATCAGAAATATATTTATATTTTTATAAATTGTTATAAAACGGTTATTGTTAGGATGAAATTTTGCAAATGCAACATATAGTTCCAGTAAAAAAAAGTCAGATGTATAAAAAATGTAATCTCTGAAATTGTTCACAAAAATCCAATAATTAAGACAACGGCAGAATTCAGTTTACACAAAGGGTCGTCCATAAATTACGTCACGCAATTTTTAACTGTTTTAGATCCCTCCTCTTTGTCACAACATTGTAATTCTTAAGTAATAAGACCCGTACAAGTTGTCACAAAACCACTAACCCCTTTCCCTAGAGTGTGACGTATTTTATATCTACTGAGACATAAGCCGCCGTGGCAGTGGTTAAAGTTCTGGCACAGAACCAAGAGGTTCGTGGTTTGGGGCCGGTTGGCCCAATAAGCAACATTGTTAAGAAAGTAGGCATGAATTTCCTAGTTAAATACTCATACTACTTATATAACTGAACTATTTTATAAAGAGGTGGCGGAAGAAAACAATAGGTGGCGGAAGAAAACAATAGGTGGGTGTTATTTTTAAAAGTACACCACATGCATTCGTTTCAAAACACACATTATCAGCTACAAACTTCACTAAAGCTTAACTATACTTTAAATGTTTTAAACAGAGTAAAATCATAGAAATATATTAAAAACTAAAACTGTATTGCTTCAAATTGCTTCAAAATTTGAATGAATTCACACGGCAACAAAAAAATATTGTGCCAATTAAAAACTAGTTTAAATTTAACATTTTCCAATGAAAGAAGTCTTATCACATAACTTTTTTGTTTATATGAAAACTTTTATTATTATTCGCTAAACAACCAACAAACTTTATACTTTAAACCGGCTGTCCCCAGTAGACACGGACGTAAAAAAGACGTCTTTTAAACGTCTTATACACGTTTTGGACGTCTTTTGAACGTTTTGGACGTCTTTTTAACGTTCAAAAGACGTCTTTTTTTGGTCCGGTGCTCACTGAGTTGTTGACACCATAGACATCTATAGACTTATCTACTGATAAAGTCATGTCAAAAAGTCAAAGAGTCAAGCTATTTATCACTATTAATAGAAAACATTTTGAAATAATAGTTTTACAGGTTTTAAAAGTGGATAGATTCCAGCTCTCTCAGTTTTATAAGTGAGGGGGCTGAAACACCTTAAACTGTCATGTTTTGTCCCCCCTGACTTTATATACTTACTATTATTGTATGGACCAATTAACAAACCATTAAATTATTGTATACGTTTACATTTATTCTTTATTTAAAAGAAGCTTGAATGTGTCTGTAAATATAATCCATATATGATAAAAATATAAATTAAATATAAAATTAAAAATTTAATATATAATAATAAATTTAATATATAATTATAGGTGGTTTCTGACAAATTTAGTTGTAAGTATTGTTTTCTCTAAAATGTCTTCTATTTGACTTTTTGTTACACACCAAAGTTTTAATTCTAAAATACAACTTTTAATGTACTAAAACTACGAAAAACGTCAACAATAAAGAATATCTGGTTTTTTAACAACATTTTCTTATTTCTAATATAAATTTCATTATTTAAACTTTGTTGTTATAGAATAATTTAATTTTTACAGGGGTCTAAAACCTACATGGCGCTTTACAACTTAAAAACTGCTATCTGGTATTTAGGCTATTTATAAGTAATTTAGATCAGTTATCTTTTATTTAAAAAAGGTTAAAAACTACTCGATACTTTTACAAATAAAAATTACTATCTAATACTTAGGTTACTTATATTTAAGTTACTACGATATAAACTGCAAATGGTTAATCAGTTATATTTTGTTTAAAAGGGTCTAAAAACTACTTGGTACTTTTAGAACTAAAAACTTCTATAACAAGAGTAATTAAAAGACTTTATGTTGTTTATTTTTTAATTTTCCATTTTTGAGCTCTTTGAAAAAAAACCGCGTCACCGAAATATATTAAATCTTCTTCTGATAAAGTAAATTCATGTTTTTTATTGCTTAATAAAAATCGAT